TTATATTAACTTAATTCTGAGAATTATTTAAAAATCGTGTACCTGTCGGAAAAATCTGAAATTATTCCTGAACGTACATTATATGCATTGGAGTGTATCAGATTTTTTTCAAATCGTTCTAACCATTACAAATGCATAAATTAATTACAATATTAAAATAATTAATGTTAGAAACTGAATGAGAATTGTTGGTTTTCAGGCACGAATTCGTACGAAGAATAGGAAAAGGAAAGCGGACGAGCCTCCGAGCTGTCCTATCTGCAATGAGAGGCTCTCCGGTACCGCTGAGGAGTTAAATAGACACGTCGAGGGCTGTTTGAATAGGCAGAACAACGACGGATCAAATTCGTCGAATAATGTAGACGAGGAGGAAGTTGACGTGGAAGGAGGCAATGCGGGGGGATTTGAAGTGTACGAATGGGCTGGACAGAGGAGGGTCAGGGCTAGTTCTATGCTGGATGGAGGATTTTCTGGTATTAATCTTGTTAAACTAAATATAGTAGATTATTTAGTGGGATTTTTAGAGTATTGTGAATGTTTAATTGGTAATAACTTTTTTAATAATGAAAGGATTTACTTTGTTCGCGGCTGAAATTGAAGATTTAATTCTATTCCTTTGGAAAATTTCGATCGATTGCTAAGGGGTGAATATCGACTCTGAACGAAGTCTCGTCTAATTCTAAATATCGTATCCTAATGAAAGACGTTGATTAACTTCTATCATTTATAACTTCGTTAATAATAGACCGATTTAATTCGTTCGTACCTGAAATTAAAGCTTGAACTCTCTACTTCAATACACTTCGTATAACAATTTCCCGTAAATCTCCTCCCAATCACTACAGACCGTCTACAATTTTTCTATTTATTCCAGCGGTCGGTCTAGCGACTTCTTCCTCAAACAAACCTCAAGATGACGAAGAAGAGGTCGACCTCATAGTAGACGGCGATTCCTCCGAGTTCGGCACTGCCCAATATTCCGAGTCCGACGTAATAACTCCATTAACTGAGGGCAGTTCGCGCGAGCAGAAAGAAAGAGACGCACTCCGAGAAGCTGTGATCTCTCCCAATATTTCTATTCCATTAAACGCAACGAGCGAAGACGACCCAACGTCTTCCACGTTGAACGGAACGAAGGATTCGAGAATCGAAGTCGAGAACTCGAAGCTGAAGCCTCGAATCGAAGAGAATGGTTGTTGTAGTTTGAGTTCGAGTTTGAAGAATGAAGGAGGGGATTGTAGAAAGGATCGACTTATCGTCGAAGCTTTGAGGGAGAGAGTAAGGGAGCTTGAGGCTGAGATGCGAGCCGTCGGATTCAAATGTCTCATTTGCATGGTGATTATTTTTTATTAGAGTCTGAATTCTTATTAATAGTAGTTTATCGAATTTGTGAATCTTTGTTCTAGGAGCAGTACAAGAAGCCGGTGACTTCTGTTTGCTGCTGGCATGTACACTGCGAGCAGTGCTGGTTACACACTCTGGTAACTATGTTTTAAATGTTGTCGGGAGGAGATGTCTATATACATGAATTTTTATTTAATATCGGGTGACTCAGACCACCCCTATATCCCTTCTAAAATCTAGAAAAATGAGTTTTTTGAAAATGTGAGCTCTACTAAACCGTTCCAATCCTACTGAATGGTGGTATTGGCGGCTTCCAGTGCAGACCGGAAGTCCATTGTTTCAAATTGAACATGCATATTTTTATGATGGATTCAGATCCACGATAAAAAAATATGCATCTGTTGTTTGAAACATTTTCTTTCTAACGTCATTTTTCACCCCTAAACGATCTTTACATTTTAGATTGTTTCCGGTCCGCAAGAAACCACTTTTAAACTTCAGAAACCGTATTTTAGAAGAAACAATAGTGTTATCTGATAAATCTCAGTGACTTCGTAATTGTGCTACTTGCTTGTTCAATTTTTTCTAAAGTAGGTTTTAACCAAAAGTTTGCTAATTTAATTAACCCCTTGGTTACTGTGGGCTCATATACGCGCTCAGAAATTTTGCTTCTGTGACACGGAGAGCGCATATAAGCGCTTAACACAGTTTGGTTTTCTGACACAGAGGGCGCATATAAGTGCCCTCCGTGCTCCGTGTCAAAAACCCAAAAATTCAAGAAAAGAAAAAACGAGTGGCCCGTCTCAAAGTTTGCCGTAGTCAAAGGGTTAAATAGGTATTTCATTTCAAAATTCAACATACGAGTGTGATATTAAAAACAGATAATTTTTTCAAGCTAATAGTATAGTATAGTAATTACTTTTTTAAGTAAAGTTAGATGAAGCTTTTTACTGATTTATTGTTGGGTAGCTTCTTGCTTCTTCCAAAATTAAGTTTCTGAAATTTAGAAACGGTCTCGATCGGACACGAATTAATATGTAAAAGTCATTTAGGGGTGAAAAATAATTTTTTAGAAAAAAATATTTTAACGAAAGATGTGTATTTTTGGCATAGAATCCGTATCCATCATGAAAATACACATATTCCATCTAAAAAAATGGACTTCCAGTCTGCACTAGAAGTTCGCAATATCATCATTCAATAGGGTAGGCCCGATTTAGTAGGGAATAGGTTACCAAAATTTTCAAAAAACTTAATTTTCCCGATTTCAGAAAGCATATACGGGTGGTCTGGGACACCCGGCATAATCAATAGATAAAACATCTGAAAAAATTGTCACACGTACTCTTCCGCTAGTAATATAGATTTCTGCATTTTTAGAATTTTTGGGACGTTAGAATTCCAGAAAAAATACAAATAAGAGGTTTGTGTTTGATTTTTAGGGAGCGAAGAAGCTGTGTCCGCAGTGCAACATGATCACCTCACCGTCTGATCTCCGGAGGATTTACATGTGAATCACCAGTTAATTCTAGGAATAATTGTAAAAATCGTGTAAATATATATACGCTGGTATACGCGTACGTAAGTCATCTACGATTAAGAGAATGTAAATAAGTTTAGGTTTAACATGTCTGTAATTATACGTGTCAATTTTCAATAAAATCTTTTATTGCGAAAAGCTTTATTCTTCATCGTAGCAAAAAATGCTTCAGACAAAATTTGTAATTCTCGATACCAGATAAAAAAGGTTCTATATATGCAATTTTCTCCTAACTCCACTAATTAACGAATAATTAAAGGGAAAAAATATACCCATTGAACAATATTCAATGATAATAATAGTCTCTATCGAAATGTTCACGTGGACCGTATGGATCTTAAGGACGGTACAATAAGTGGACTTTTACTACTTACGATCGAGAGGAGGGGGAACTGAACGCTCAACGTACTCAACGTGTTTAAAATTTTCCTATTTCCAGCAATCCGTTGAACTGCTTTACATTTTCTTAATCAAATAAAACGCGAGAAATGTTTCGTCAAGTGAGTAGGCAATGACGATAATTAAGATTAAGACAGGAACGGAAAATTATTCAATTCCTTGTTTTACTATTTACATTACTTGGGGTTCGGTTTCAAAATCGTTCTGTAATTTTCAGGTTATACCGCGTTTTGTTGACACTGTTAAGACGGTGGCGAGTCGCAGGCAAATGTGCAACATACCTGAGAGCACGAAGATAGAAAAGAGTAAGTCAACGATAAATATAAATTGCGAAAACAATTGAAGAAGGCTGCAGTTAGCGTGGAGTCGACAGTTCTAACCTATAAGGTTTAGATTAAGTATGCGAATTTAGTAGAGGAGTTAATAAATAATTTTTAAGACTATATTAGAATTTTTATTTCAAGCTTCACGAATTTTTTCAACCTTGTACTTTCGATATTTTCGATTCTACAATTGTTTAGATAAAGATAATTTTCTTATTGTGATTTCATAAGATTGCTTGTGATTTCGTAAGATTTAAGAAATTTTTTCTCGAAAACCACATATCAAATTTTGATGAAATTTAGATATGTTTTTGATGTAGTCTCTTGCTATTTTTTGTGAATTTTTCTAACACTCTCCTGTCAATAGTTTAGATGAAATGGCTTGTATTGTATGTTACAGCGATTAATCAAGTGACTCTGTTGGGAAGAGTGGGCGCAGAACCCCAGAAAAGAGGCAACGACGAGCATCCAGTGGTCATATTCTCTTTAGCCACTCATAACAATTACAAATACACAAATGGTAATGAGGAGAGGATTTGCCACGTGGAAAGATTGGCCCATTTATAGAAAACTGAAAAATTTCCAGGGGATTTTGTTCAAAGGACGGACTGGCACAAGGTCTGTGTATTCAAACCGAATCTCAGGGACAATGTGTACAATTATCTGAAAAAGGGTCAGAGGGTATTAGTCTCAGGTAAAATCAGTTACGGAGAGTTTAAGGACGAGGAAGGGAACACGAGGCCCAGTACAGCGGTGATTGCCGACGACATCGTGTTCTTCCAGCACCAGTGAACTTGTATTTAAGGTTTAGAATTAGACATATCTTTTGTACACAGGAAAATTGAATGAAAATCGCAAACGTATTTGTTTTTTTTTTCTTAAGAACACAATTTCTTTTATTTTTATATATATATAAATCGGTCTCTCGTAAAAATTATCTTAACTTATTGTTACACTTTTTTTTATATACACGTATGAATATATTTATATATCCTTACGAACCTATTTAATCCTATAATCGTTTTTGTATATTTTCATCTTCTTTCTTCTATATAATATATAAACTTTATATAGAGATCACAGTATACATAATAAAATAGTCCGGTATACAATCTTTCATCTGAGTTCATACGATTTTCTAATGCACTTCGTTTCCATCATGCGCACATCATATATATTTATATATACATGTATATACACACAAACATCTATGTATATGTGTATATATATATATATATATATATATATACACGCACATATATATGTGTATGTCCACGCATGCAATTTTCATTGAATACAAAATAATGTGTATCACATACGTCGCAAATTCACCCAGCGCAGTTTCATTCCCGATTAAAAAATATAATTTCTCATTTTCATTTAACAATTCTTCTGGCCCCGAATTGGTATATTTTTTCCTCTTGTGCAACTGTCACGTGTCTCGTAAATCTTCGTTGTCCTAACGTAACGGTCTTATATTCAATTAAACTGAACGCGTTAGTCTACGAACTTAAAGCTTAGAAGATTACACTTTTACGCTTAGAAATTAATGGAAGAACCAAAAAGAAGAAAAGATCGACTAAACATTAGTGGCGGAATATCAGCCAACGATCATTCGAAGTACAGTAAATTTCCGGATACATGGCGATATTTTGAGCCTCATCATCGGATCCAAAGTTTTGATTCTTACTATGAGACTCAATTTTTGTGCCGTATTGTAAGTTCCAATCTTTGGGCCTCGCCGTGAATCGCTTTGTACCATTTTTCTTTACCGAATTCCAGTGGCGTCCGGACGTGTGGCCAAGCTAGATCCCAATTACCATGCGTGGCCATATATCTGGAGAACACTGTGAATCATTTCCTACCATTTTTCTTCATCGAATTCCAGTGGTGGTCGGATGTATGGCCAATCGATGGCCACATGCCCGGAAATCACTGCACAGACACACGACAACACAGTACTTTCAGCTTCACCGAGGCATCCGATCAATTAGATCCTCGGTCCTTGGCCGATCGAATAATTTTCTATTCTCTCCGACGGTGGTTAAACACCGGCGGCATTTCTCTCTTTTTTTTATTGTACCAAGTCGGGCCCGAGTCACTGGACCCGTCACTTCTTCTCGTCCTCCTGATTCGTCTTCACAAGATTATACGCGTGGCTCCTGTATTTCGCCGGCGGATCGTGAAGAGGCAGAGGTTGTTGAACGGCATTGCTACTCGGTTGACTATTCTGTTGATCATTGGGAGGCTGACTGGACATCGTCGACATTGAGAGGTCCGTCGGCATATCTATTTCCGGCTCGACGCCGCTCGTCGTACCGTCACCGTCCTCAGGCTCGGATTTGATCCGCATCTGTTGGCGGAGAAGGCTGATGTTCTTTATGTTTTTCAGCTCCGTAGGATTACGCAGAAATCTGGAATATATATTGCAGAAAATGAAGGTTTTGAGAATTAAGAAAATTAATGTAGAATAAAGTGAACGGGAACCGTACGTACTGGTAACAGTGTCGTTCGCCCTGAACTTTCCTCAGGATGTTCACTCGGTAATAGTATCGCAGCGCTCTGCTCATCTTGTCGTAGTTCATCGACAAATGGTTCTTTTGTATCCCCCAGAGTCTCGCCAGTCTGGGGGGATCCACTATTTTGAACACTCCAGTTTCTCGACTCTTCCAGGCGATGTACTGAGTGTATCTTTGGGAGGGGTCGTTTAGAAGCTGCTGAAGGAAATCCCAAAGGAGTCTTCCGTCTGAAAAACGATATAAAATCCTGTGCCACTCGAATACTACAGAATATGTTTATAGGTCTTGTAGTAAATTTAATTTTTGGGCTAGAGTGAATTTGATTTTTAGGTCTTTACAGCGGATTCAATTTTTCGGCCTTATAGAGGTTCAATGAGCCTCACACAGATTTAACTTTTGAGCTTATGGAGAATTTAACTTCGTGCCCTTATAGAGGTTTTAATTCTTGGGTCTTACACAAAATGATTTAAATTAATTTTCAACGTGTTTTAGATGTACTATCCACTTAGCTTTACGATTTCTTCCAACCGCCTACTATTAATACTTAATTATAAACTGACTCGTGTTAGGCTCGGCAGCTTCGCCAAAGAATTCCCTGGCTCCGCCGGCGTTCGCCCTGAATCCGGCAGGCCCCTGCTGCTGCTGCTGCTGCTGCTGCTGCTCTTTCACGCAAACTTCGCTCAGCCTCTGCGCGGTGATGCTCGTAGGAGTATTTGGCGGACTTCCGCTACTTCCTCCATTATTCTGATTATTATCCTCGTCGGAGTCGCTTTTATACACCTGTCAAAACCAAATCACTTCGTATATCAACTGTCACCATTTTCTATCATTTATTTTATTTCATGATTTTCTTATCTTTTTCTTTATTTTCTACGCACCTGACTTTGATTGTTTTCTTGCCCGGGCGAGCCGGCTTGGCTGTCAACCGACGGCGCCGGAGACAGGGTCACGGAGTTCGCGGACATCAGCGAGGCTAAGTTCGCCGTGTAAGGATTGTCGGACCACGTGGGCGTCGGCGGATGGGAGTGGGGCGAGAGCGGGTAGGAGGACGGCCGGGTTGGCGTGACCGGGCTGCTGGGCAAACACCGTTGCAACTGGCTGAAGTCCCGGGCCAGCATCGAGAGGACATTGTGTAGAACGTCGCCGGCACCCGGACACCTCTCACCTTTTAAACGATACTAATATTTATTTATTCACAAGCGGGCAGCTAGCCCATCCCCCCTTTTTGAAAAAGTAACTTTATATAGAAGTTACAAATTTGACAAGCGATGCGCCTACGTCAGATTAATGTGTCAGCTTGTGAGTCTGATGAATTTTTATTTAATATAAATAACGGATGAGACAATTTGAAAAACTTCATAAAACTACAAGGTAGTACATCTCTGAATTTTTAAAAAATTTTCCATACATCACAACCAGGGAAAAACCCAATTATATACAATTGATTAAATTATTCAAAGATTTGAATACTTTATAAATTTTTATTACCATAAGTACTGAACCTTACCTAGGTCTGGCTTCGTTAATAGGCAGAGGGCCTTGCCGTTCATCTGGAACATATCCATGTCGAACTGAGGCAAGTCGAACTCGTGCTCGGCCCATCTGAGAAAAGTGGCCACGTCCTCCCTGGACCAAAGCCTTGGGTCCGATGCTGCCGATTGATCGGAAGAAAACAGATTAGATAAATATATATTTTTTATATTAAAACTTCTGGGCTATAGAAACCGGAAGTTGTAAGATGGAAGATGTAAATACCTAGACTGGTGGGTAGATGGGTTTTGAAGTCCAGAAACGGGCTGTGAGGCGGCGGGTGGTTAGCCGGCGGGAAGTTCATCGCTGGGCCGTACCGCCAAAGGAGCTCCGTCGGACTGAACGGCAGCGAGATGCCTGGTGGTAGCCGGGAGTCCATCCCGGCGGCGGCGGCCGGTGAGACCGGCGGCGGCAGCTGGGGCAACTGTATCGACGGCAACAATTTCATAACCAAATGATCCTTCCTTGTTTATTCGCTACGCCTCTCGTCTTCTATCTGCAACGCACGAACATCAATCGGATTTCAGCGACGATTATTATTCTGGACATTTTAATGTCCCTAACTTTTGGGCTTGAATTGCTATTTTCCTCAGCATACTCCCGACTATCACCACGCATCTCGGCATCGACTTTGTTTTCTTTTTACAAATGTATATGTACCACCGGCGGCGCAACAGGTCCATTGGGACCGTCGCGTGGATACACGCGTAGACGCGGAGGATTTATTGTCGTAACAGCGGAAGATCCTTGAGGATGGATTTAACAAGATTTATCGCATAAGGAAGAGTCGTCGATTCTGCGTTTTCTTCCGGGTGTAAGCCTGCTTCGGCCTGTGTTTCCTCCTTCCTTCCTTCTCTCTTTATCTCTTATCTCGCTCTCGTCCGATAACGCTGCCGTTTACTGTGTACGCGACGTCAATCAAAAGCTTTCATTTCGCTTCTAGAGTTCTAATCAAAATTCCGTTGTTTGTTTTCAATTACAAGAGTTACAGACCGGGCGACAGTCGAACGATCGTGCAATTAAATAATAAACGCACGGCTGGATTTATCTTTTAGAATTTTGTGAACGATTGATAACCAGGCGAACGCGAGAGATTCGCTTTATCGAAACGGCGGCGCGTCGCGTCGCGTCGCACGTACTCGACGTTATCTGTTATCAAACGGCGATTTCAGTTCCAATCTTTTTTTCTCTTCGCGCTTCCTTGTGCGGAACACGTATCCGACCGGTTCGCCAAAAGAATTTTTAAACACCGTTTCGCAACGATCAGGTACGGCTGAAAACGCGAGATAAGTGAGTGCGTCGTGTATATATATACTCGGTGTGTTCGCACTTTACAGATCTACAATTAATTTCTCAGATCCTGCTGGGCGAAACGTCGTGGGAAAATTCTGAGACGTAGACTGTACCTAATACTACATCGTCGAAGTTTTTCATTAACTTTCATTCATTAATACAGTTGAAATTAATTAATTTATATTTAAGGTGGAACGCCGACAATTTTTTACAACCTCAATTTGCAATCTAGAAAGTTAAAAAAATCTCACATATAATACATTTATAGTAGCAGATTCCGGATTTCTTTCAGAATTTTTAATTCATTGCAAGTTGCAAAATAAAATTGTTAATTAAATTCAGTTTGACAAACTGGGAATTTATTTTTATTCAGGAATTGTATACTATTTAAGTTTACAATGTGAAAATATGAAAAATTTTAAAATATGTTACACGTACAGTATACGTTAGAATTGGAAAAAAATACATGTAAATGACAATGATTAAAATTCATTATAGCGAAATTTGAAACCATTATGAATTTTTACTTAATAAAACAATAAATGGAAAATTTGGAAAATTCTCATATACACGTTTCTGAATTTTTTCATTAATATCCATCCACTAGGATCAGAGAAATAAATTGTTAAACCGATATTACAATAAACGGTCAATAAAATTCTTCGAAATGCGCACCACTGTCCTCTAAGGAGGAGCACAAAGAGAGCATCGGCAGAGAGAACGAGAGAGAGAGAGAGAGAGAGAGAGAGAGAGAGAGAGAGATGTTCTCGGATGCACGTGCAACCAGAGCCAAGAAGCGAGGGAGGTGGTAGAGGGGCAGACCGGAAGTCGATAAAAAGGCTCTGTTCACCGTCCCTTTGCTCTCTTTGCTTCGCTCTCGGCCGTTTCTCATGGGAACCGGCATCTCTCCACCCCTCGCCTCTCTCCCACAAGCCCTCCTCCTCCCGTTTCTTCCATATAAATATCCGACATAACGTCTGATAATTGTTATTAAAAATTGAAAAATCTAATAAATATCTTGAGCAGAGGCGAGAAGCGGAGACTGAGGGATAGTCGGTGGTTAAGCAAGCTGACGTAAGCGGAAGGGTTCATTGGCCACTCTCAAGGTCGTGGAAATTCTTCCTGGTCCCCTAACGATATAAACAATTTTATATGTCAAACGACAATGGGCGACGATGCGTGGAAGAAAAATAATGCAGGTACATAGCGCCCGTGTAGGTGCAGCTTACAGAATTTTTTCGAATTTCTCCTTAGCAAGCTGAAGCCAGAAAAATATCGTTCTTCTATGTTAATCAATAGATAATTAATATTTGTCAATCTAGTAGATAAAAATGTTGTTGAATAAATTCTATAATTTTTGGGACCATCACTATGTTGAATGAAGGTAAGTACAGTCGTATCCGTGTATGTATGGTCGTGCATGGAAATTAGGCCCCATAAAAGGGCTCACTACAAGGCCTCAAAATTGAGTCCGATAAAAGACCAAAACTGGGCCTATTATTAAATTCCCAAAGTAAAACGGTTATAATGCCCCAAAACTAAATCCGCTATAAATCGGAAAAATATCTGTACATCCGGATATTAACGTATTTGGTGTTCGTTTAGAAGAAGAAAAACAGAAGTGACTAACATAAGATAGAAGGAAATGGGTTTTTCCCAGCTCGAGCCGAGGTTTTTGATCGGGAAGGGAGGAATCGGTCTTCTCCGTTCAATTGGAACCGGACAAGCGAGAAATAAAAGGAGGAAAGCCGGTTAGACGCATACCTCGAGGAGAAGGAGAACAGGAAGTAACGAAGAGGAAAAGATGAGAAGAAGAAGAGGAGGAGGAGATTAAATTGACCGCTGGTTGAATTCCTCGTGAGAGGAGGAGGGAGCAGCAAGAACCGAGGTACGCGCTTCCGGTCTCCTTGCAAACCGGTTTTAGACTCCTTCCTTCCATCCTTCAGGCCTACAGCGAGAGGACAGCACAGGGTAACGCATTTTTATGATACTCCTTTCTTCTTCTTGCATTTAAATACTACCGAACACTTGCGTTTAAATGCTACTTAATGCTTCGCGGGATTAAATACTTCTTTCCCATTACCATTTCCGGTATAGAGATTTGAAAAAATTCTGTACTGTACAGTACACGGAGTAGTATATTTGCGAATTTTTTTAATAGATTCTAGTCAACAGAATCGGGAAAATTAATTATAATACAGTGCAAATAGAATTTATAATATTATAGAAGAGGTTCAAAATTTGATAATTTTTTCCAAGTGGAAGCCGTTGGTCTATAGATTTAGAAAATTTCCTAATATACAATATGTACAGTAAGTAGTATATCGCACAATTTTTTCATTAATTTCAGTGCATGAAAAGACAGTCTTTGATGAAACTTTGCTAATTTTTCACAATTCTAATTCGCGATATAGGAATTTGATAAAATTCACGCATATACTATGTACATGGTAGTACACCTCTGAATTTTCTCAGAATTTTTGACACGTTAAATTTGAAAAAAAAATAGTATAGAAAATTATATTCCAGAAATCAGTGTCGCAAAATTTGCAAATTTCATGAGTTTTATTTAATATCAACAGATATTAATAATTGAAGGATCGATTTGAAAAAATCTTCACATGTACTACTAATACAGTAGTACATTTATGAATTTTCATTTCATATAAATAATTGAGGGATTGATTTTGAGAAATTCTCACATGTACTCTAAAAATAATAGTAGATCTTCGATTTTTTCAGAATTTTTG